TAGGACAGCCAGGGTTACATAAAGAGAAATTCTCTCTCTCTCTCTCTCTCTCTCTCTCTCTCTCTCTCTCTCTCTCTCTCTTTCTCTCTCTCTCTCACATACACACACACATATATATATCACATTATTTTTACTTATAATGTATACAAGTTTATACATCATATAATGTTGAAATCATGTTAAACAGGGGTTAGAGAGATGGAACAGTGGTTAAGAGCACTGGCTGCGCTTCCAGAGGATTTGGGTTCAATTCCCAGCACCCACATGGCAGCTCATACCTGCTTGTAACTCAGTTCCAAGGCTTCTGACACTCTCATACAGACATACATGCAGATAAAACACCAATGAACATAAAATAAAATATAATAATAATAATAAATCATGTTAAACATGTCACACTTAATTATTTTTTTATAGTTAAAAATGCAGAATCTTTCCTTCCAGTTTTCTGAAGAACACATGGCATTATTGTTAAGCATAGTTATCCTGCTGTGCCATAACACACCAAGGTTTCTTTTAACTATAAGCTATCTTTCTATTAGTATGTGTCTCACATTTTCTAAACCTTCTGATAAAGCTAAAACAAACACACATGTGCTGTGGATATCTGTATGCTGTGAATGTGTTGCTCTGATTGGTTAATAAGTAAAGTGCTGATTGGCCAGTAGTCAGGCAGAAAGTATAGGCAGGACAAAGAGAGAGGAGAATTCTGGGAAGAGGAAGGCTGAGGAAGAGATGCTGCCAGCCAGAGGATGGAAGATGTGAAGGCAGAACTGGGAAAAGGTACCAAGCCACGTGGCTAAACATAAATAAGAATTATGGGTTAATCTAAGTGTAAGAGCTAGTCAGTAATAAGCCTGAGCTAATGGCCATACAGTTTATAAATAATATAAGCTTCTGTGTGTTTACTTGGGTCTGAGTGGCTGCGGGACTGGTGGATGAGAGAGATTTGTCCTGACCACTGGCAGGCTGGGACACAGGAAAATTTCAGCTACACACATGCATTTTTATTTCTAAAAGTAATTGCATATTTTGTTATTCCACTGCATAAGGACAGATTAAAAATATGTTTCATAACTAACTTTTTGGCTTTCCCCCTACTCTTTTTTTTTTTTTAAGATTTATTTATTTATTATGTCTACAGTGTTCTGTCTGCACATATCCCTGCAAGCCAGAAGAGGGCACCAGATCTCATTACAGATGGTTGTGAGCCACCATGTGGTTGCTGGGAATTGAACTCAGGACCTTTGGAAGAACAAGCAGTGCTCTTAACCTCTGAGCCATCTCTCCAGCCCCTCCCCCTACTCTTAAAAAAGTTATTTCATTTGCCTGGAATCAGAAGCTCCTGTCTATCCCTGAATGGTGATTGTCTTAGTTAGGGTTTTTTATTGCTGTGAAGAGACACCATGACCATGGCAACTCTTATAAATGAAACATTTAATTGAGGTGGCTTGATTACAGTTTCAGAGGTTCAGTCCATTATCATCATTCCAGGGAGTGGTGCTGGAGGAACAGCTGAGAGTCCTACATCTTACAGGCAACAGGAGTCAACTGACATCCTGGGCAGTATCCTGAGCATAGGAAACCCTCAAAGCCCTCCGCCACAGTGACACACTTCCTCCAACAAGGCCACATCTCCTAGTAGTGCCGCTTGCTGTAAGATTATGGGTGCCAATTACATTCAAACTACCACAGTCCATTCCCTGGTCCCCATAAGCTTGTAGCAATACCATAATGCAAAATGTGTTTAGTCCAACTTCAAAACTCTGCATAGTCTATCACAGTATCAACAGTGTTTAAAAGTCCAAAGTTCAGCCGGGCGGTGGTGGCGCACGCCTTTAATCCCAGCACTCGGGAGGCAGAGGCAGGCGGATCTCTGTGAGTTCGAGGCCAGCCTGGGCTACCAAGTGAGTTCCAGGAAAGGCGCAAAGCTACACAGAGAAACCCTGTCTCGAAAAACCAAAAAAAAAAAAAAAAGTCCAAAGTTCAAAGTCTCTTCTGAGATTCATGCAATCTCTTAACTATAATCCTTTATAAAATCAAAATAAAAAAATAAACAGATCACATACTTCCAAGATACAACGGCACAGGATATACATTACTATTCCAAAATGTAGGGAAGGGAGCATAGTGAAGAAATACTGGACCAAAGCAAGACCGAAAACCAGCTGGGCAAACTCCAAACTCTGCATCTCCATGTCTGATGTCAAAACGCTCTCCACATCTTCAAGTCTGTTCAGCTTTAGTGACTGTAACACACTTCTTTCTCTTGGACTGGTTCCACTCTCTGTTAGCAGCTCTCCTCAGCAGGTATCTCATGACTCTGGCATCTCTCAAGTCTTGGGTTCTCCAAGGCAATCCAGGCTTCAACTTTACAGCTTCACACAATGGTCTCTCTGAAAGGATAAACAGTGGGTCAGCGGGCGTGGCGGAAAAGTCACGGGCCAAAGCTACCAGAGTTGGAAAGAGCTTTATTAGAAAGAAACCAGGCCTGGAGAGACAGAAAGACGGCGGGAGCAGAGCAGAGAGGAAACAGAAAGAGGAGCGCAGAGAGAGAGCGTGGGGGTCCGTGCATGGCCTTTTAAGGCGGGGACGCAGTTGCCCACTGATGATGTAAGGTGTCAGACAAGACCCCGAGCTGTGCATGTACAGAATCCTAACACTCCCTACCAGTGCTCCGTTCAGGGACACCCCTGACACATGCCAGGTCTCAGTGACTTTATACCATAACTCCTTTCTTCTACCTTTAACTCTAAACCCAGAACCACATGGCCAAAGCTGCCAAGTTCTACTGCTTGCTGGGGTGGAAACAGCCCCCTTGTTGAATTACATCTTCACTGGCTTTCTGTTGTCCTTCACTGCCCAAGCTTGGCTGTCCTGAAACTCTAGACCAGGCTGGCCTCAAATTCAGAGATTTACCATCCTCTGCCTTCCCAGTGCTAGGATTAAAGGTGTGCCCATCATACCCAGCTCTAAACTTTTCTTTAGTTCCTTCTCACAAATTGGAAACTTAGCTGGTGGGATCTTGCCCTGAGGTCACCACTCCCTTTATTCCATTTCTTAATCCATTTATCTCCTTGAACACAGAATTTAGCTCTCTCTCACTTCCTGGTACTCTTTTTTTTTCCCCTCAAAAATTTCATTTTGTAATTTACCTTGCTCTGCTTGCTCCTTTTCGTTATAAATCTTCATTAGAGTTACCACTAAAAACCACATAATAGAGTCTATACTAGGCTGTTTTGAGATTTCCTCTACCAACAGAATTAATCCAAAATTTAGCCTCAGGCAGACTCTTTGGACAAGGGCAAAAGGCAGCCACTTTCTTCCCCAAAATATCACAAGAGCAATCAATTGCCAACATACTAACATTCTTCTCCTCTGAAACCTCTTGAGTGAGTCCCCCACAGTTCAAATCGCCCTCAGCACCACTGTCTTCCAGGCTCCTACTAGTATGGCCCATTAAGCAATGCTTGAAGCATTCCACTGCTTTCCAAACCTGAAGTACCAAAGTTCAAATTCCTCCAAACAAACACACGGTCAGGCCTATCACAGCAATACCCCAGTCCCTGGTACCAACTTCTGTCCTAGGGGTTTTTTGTTGCTCTGAACAGACACCATGACCACAGTAACTCTTATAAAGGAAACATTTAAGTGGGGTGGCTCGCTTACAGTTTCAGAGGTCTAGTCCCTTTTTATCATGGTGGAGAGTGGTGCTGGCGGAATAGCTAAGAGTCCTACATCTTGCAGGCAACAGGAAGTGGACTGAGACACTGGGTGGTATCCTGAGCATGGGAAACCTCAAAGCCCACCCCCACAGTGACACACTTCCTCCAACAAGGTCACACCTCCTAATAGTGCCACTCCCTATGGAATTATGGGGGCCAGCTACATTCAACCCCCCCACAGTGATCGTTCATCTTTGACTAAATCCCACACAGGCCAAGTCACACACGGCCATTGAGCTCGTTTTCTAGCTCCTCCCACCTAAAACTTCACCCCTTCCCGCCTGACACCTGCTCCCTCCGTGTTTCCCCCCCAGGGATACCAAATTCTTGTGTCTACCTAACAGCAATGCAGGCTGCAATCCTAAACGACAGACTCCCAGATGTTGTAATCCTACCTGTCGAAATCCCAAAAGATTAAAGTTTCTAATTTGAAAAAATCACAGCATCAAAAGATTAACCCTAATGTGAAAATCCCGAACGCTGAAAACCGCAACTCTCACTGAAATACAAACGGTTGCATAAGACAGGCAAAAAGCCAGACTGTGTGAAGAGAATTAGCATGTTCTGTGATTTGCGGGCTGTTTGTAGCTGGCTGAGTGGAAGGAAGATCTAAGAGTGTGGTGAAGCATTTTCAGGGCTTGCCTAGGTGTTGCCAGAGAGGATTATGTTGGGAGTTTGAGTGGACAAGCCCAGGAAGACACGCCTCAGTGTGGTGCTGTTACCAGACCTGTTAGGGTCAAAGCCTGGGATCTGGCAGTCCTAACAAGGTGGGCTGAGCCGTCTGTCCCCAACACACCGATTAAAGAGACAAGTGCTATTGAAAGGCAGAGAAAGGAGATTTGTTCAACTTGGCCACATTGGAAAGAACAAATAACAAGGTCAGGTGATGCTCAAGTCGGTCTTTGGGGTACTGATGCGAGGGTTTGATCCCGCCCAGCACTCACGCAATTTCTTGGCTCTGATCTGTCTTGCCTGGAGGTCTGACAAGTGTCAGACTGTGTGAAATCTCTTCGTGGGAGGCAAGTTCCTTCTCTGGCTGGCACGAGAACTTCAGCCTTTCCCTTCCTTCAGTGTGGGGTTCCTGGGAAATCTTTTAATGTTTTGAAGCCTTTGTTTCAATAGTGTGGTAGTACACGCAAATGCCTCTCTTCTCAACAGCTTCTGCCAGGACCCTTACAACACCACCCAGGCTGCCCAGCTACAGAAAACAAACACAGAAAGCTAACTTGTCTCTGAGAGTTGAGACTAAGCTTCCTGCTGTGGCCTTGGACACCAGCACTACAGGCGCTCTGGCCTTTGGATTCTGTACCTGTGCCAGCAATTCCCAAATTCTCCGGCTTTTTTAGCGAGTGGCCCTTCGCCCTACCTGTCAGCACTAGTTTTTACCATTTGCCACATCGCTGCAAGTTTGCCTCATTCCAAGTCCAGGAAGTGTAGACTATGCAAAGACCTCCGTCATTCTAATTCCCTGCAGGCTTCTCCTCTTCTGCAAAGTTTATTCTTTGGAAGTTCGGTATCATCACCCTGACTCACTGGTTTTGTGTGTGAGCACTGCCCGTGCGTGTAAAAATGGTGAAACGTCCTTGGTAAGTGAAGACATGCTTTTTGCTCATCTGCGTTTGTGGAAGACAAAGTTTTTAAGGGTTCCACCTCTTTGACCGAGTGCGTATGCTGTGGTGACTTGCTGAGATTTCGTTTTGTTCTGGATTTGCAGTATTGGGGATGAACGCAGAGCCTCACACATGCAAAGAGTACCGCTCAGCTATACTCCCCGACCCCATGTTACGAACAAAAAGGATTGAGATTTTGGACCACAGACCCTCTAGCTGCCTCCTCTCTATCTCACAAATGAGGCCTTGCCTCCTCTGCCGCTCTGCTCTCTACCTCCTGTGGGTGTAAAGGGAACTCTGAGGCAAATACTCTGTATCTGATGTCCCAACCCCCAAAACTGGCTTTGACTTGTGGCCAGACTCCCCACCCCTGGGGAAAATTTCTAAAAGTAAGGCATTTCCCTCTTAGCTTTCTAGTCTCTTGCTTTCATGTCCGATCTCCCTCCGTCTCTCCTTCTTTCTCCTAAGTCTGTGTTGTACATGGCTCCTTGTTCTCCTACTCTTCTTTTTCTTAATGAAGCCCCTCTCCAGGTTTCAAGGGGACCCTTTTGTATTAGTTACTTTTTGTTGCTGTGGTAAAATACCATGACCAATAAGCATCTTGTGGGTGAGTTGATTTGGGTATTTGGTTCCAGAGGGAAAGTCTGGAATGGCCGAGGAGCCAAGCTGCAGGAAGCAGAGAGAGTACACCTTCAACAGCAGAGGAAAGCAAACGCAATGTGGAACGCAGCTTTAAACACAAACCCACCCCTAGTGACCACTGACTTCTTCCGAAGGGTTCCACCTCCTGCAGGAAGCATAACCTTCCCAAACAGTGCCACCAAGTGGAGGAAACCTAGTGTCCAAATACGTGAGTCTATGAGGAACATTTGCTCAACCACCACACCTCCTCATTTATGTGTATATATATGTGTATCTGTGTATGTATGTGCACATACATGCTGGTGCCTGCAGAGGTCAGAGGGATGTTGTTAGATCCCCTGAAGCTGGAGTTACAGTTATGAGCCATAATGTGGGTGTTGGGAACCGAACTCAGGTCATCTGGAAGAATAGCAAACACTCTTTAACTGCTGGACCATCTCTCCAACTCTCTCACTCTGGTTTTTCCACACCACCTAAGCCTGATGACCTGAATTTGAGCCCAGAACCCACATAAAAATAGAAAGGGAAAGCTGACTTCATAAAGTTGTCTTCTGGCTTCCACATATGTGCTGAGGCATGTGCGTGCACACATATACACAATATAATCGATGGATTAAAAAAAAAGACTTTATGGGCTGGAGAGATGGCTCAGCAGTTAAGACCACTGGCTGCTCTTCCAGAGGTCCCGGGTTCAATTCCCAGCACCAACATGGCAGCTCAAAACTGTCTATAACTCCAAGATCTGACACCCTCACACAGACATACATGCAGGGAAAACACCAATGCACATAAAATAAAAAAAATGTTTTAGAGATGTCATTAAAAATCATCAAAAATTTTAGATGATGACAGTTATAAAGCTGGATGCACTCAATTCCCAACCATAGTGATATATATTTATACATTTTTGCTTCTCAGTTTTATTTTGTGAAAATAGTTGATCTGCTCACAACAGTTACACCCACCAGATTGATGTTAGTAAATCTCAGTGTTTACAGTTATGAAGACATTTATGTTATTACTATTGACTTTGCTGTGATGTGACTTTTAAAGTGCTCTGTTTTGACTTTATTGTGTTCCTCAGTCAGTTTCTAAGGCAGAAGAACAGTGAGTTTGAGGCCAACCTACAATACACAGTGAGTTCCAGGTAGCTTGGGCTATATATGGAACCATTTTCTCAAGAAAGAAAGAAAAAAAAAAAAAAAAGAATGGGGCTGGAGAGATGGCTCAGAGGTCAAGAGGTACTGCTTGCTGCTTATGGAGAGCAAACGATGTCCTGAGTGCATGTCTGCTATTAACAAGGGCCCCAGTACCTCAGACCTATGGGAGTCAGCAAGCCTTCCTGTCCTTGTGTGAATGTTGATGCTTTGTACAGAGAGCAGGGTCTGCAACTTCCTCCTAAATGATTACAGCCTGAGACTCCCTACAGAGGCCTGCCACAGGGACTAGCTAACCCCAGACCTGCCGGGTCAACACGTTAAACAGGGAAACCCTGACATCCCAGGATTAACCTCCTGATTATCAGTAGACCCGGCTGCAAATTGAAGTACTAGTTTGCTGTAGAGACTTAGAGCCCCACAAGGTTTCTGGCATCAACAACTCCTACAGTGCCCCCTGGTGTTCAAATGTGCAACTACAAAGCCATGGCCCTAAGGTTCCTTTAGCCCATTCATTGTATGGAAGAAACTGCACAGCCACACAGCTACCTAAAGGGAAAGATATTTTCCTTTAACCAAAGATGCCATCAGTTCTGCAAGCTATCAGGCCTATATCCCACCTTTTCCTGATTCCCACAAAAATGGCACAGAATGAAGAACAGCCATAGGTTTGCACATAACACAAGGGCCCAGCAAGGTGCCTGGGGACAGACTGTGGCGAAGGAGAGAGAAACACCAGGGCTCCCTGCAGTGGGGTCCCTGGGGATCCTTGGTGTGAATATGCAAAGCATGGCAAAATCACTAACACCTCCAATTCCACAAATACTGAGCTTCTGTTTGGTGACAGGACTAGGTGGTGTGAGAGCAGGGATGGCTGGACCATCAGCTGATATAGAAGATTCTCTGCAGCTTCCATATCCAATCAGGTGGCATCCTCAGGCACAAGAGCCAGTAGTGGGGGTGGGGGTGGGGGGTTGATATGGTCAAGATATATTGCATTCATATATATATGAAACTGTCAAAGAATAAATTTTTAAAAAATTTTAAGAACCAGAGGTATCAATGATAACTCAGCTGCACCTGGCAGAGCCTCAGGGACCCCAGGTCCAGGCCACCACAAGAATAAAACAGGTTATCATCTCACAAAAATCCCTCAGCCATCAGCACGGAAAGGCTGTGTCAGCCCATGGAAGGAGGCCCTTCCGGATGCACAAAGGCACTGGACCACAGGGTAGCATGTCTCTGACCAGGGCCACATTGATACAGAAGTGATGCAGACAACTCGTGCTTTTCAAAACTGTGGCTTCAACTCCCTGCTCCCTAAACCAGTCCCGGTTGACATTTTCACAAATGCTATGCTTGGTATTCTGAGTCCTTATTGCAGGCGGCTCAGTGGTTGACTTAGCAACTCCAGGATTGGTCATCTCTGGACGCCCAGCTGAAGATCTGGTCTGTGAGGCCTCGTCCCCCAGGACCGCCTGAACACCTGAATTTGATCTCCTCACCCACTGTGGCCTCTGCTAATGTATCCATGCAACCTGGGCCCTCCACAAGGACTGCCAATGCCCTTCTCTACTATGCCCTCCTCCACACGTCCGTCCCCACCAGAGCTTCTGACTCCAAGATCTGAGAGGACGGCTATGGAGCAGTTAACTGCAGAAAAGCCATCTCCTGGACCTTCTCGGGCGACAGGATTGTCTGGTGACAAGATGGGCAGCATAAAGGCAAAGGGACCAGAAAGCAGCTCAAAGACCCACACCAAGAGGACGAAGACATCAGTGGTAAAACTTCAAAGAAGAGACCAGAGAAGCAGGCTGCGAGAAGGGACAGCTGAGGAGCGGAAGCTCAGCGGTCGGGGGACCAGGGAGACAGTTGGATGAAGCAGAGAAGTAAAGGAAGTAGGAAAGTGTGTGTGTGTGTGTGTGTGTGTGTGTGTGTGTGTGTGTGTGTGTGCTCGCTTGCGCGCGCGCGCGCGCGCACACACCACACAGAAGACCACTTCTGGTGTTGTTACTTGGCACCAACCCTCTGCTTTTACTTTAAAAGACAGATTCTCTCCCTGGACTGGAATTTACCAAGAAGCCTAGGCTGGCTGACCAGTAAGCCTCAGGGCTCTTTCTGTCTCCACCTCCCCAGTACTGGGATTAGAAGAGCATATCACCGGACAGGCAGTGGTGGCGCACGCCTTTAATGCCAGCACTCAGGAGGCAGAGGCAGCCAGATCTCTGGGAGTTCAAGAGTGAGTTCTACTGGTCTACAGAGTTCCAGGACAGCCAGGGCTGTTATACAGAGAAACCCTGCCTTGATGGAGGAGGGGAAAAGTGCATGTCACCATGTACAGTATATTTCCTTTTTTTAATGTGAATTCCAGGTACTGAACACTGGTCCTTGTCTTTAAAAGCAAGCACTTTAGCTCCTAAGCCATCCCCTCCGCCACTGGAGACCTACCTATTAAAATAATTATTCTAGTGGTATCAACGAAAGAAGGAAGTGTAAAATTGATGAATAAAAGAAAGAGAATGGAAAGTTAACCTGGGTGACCCCGGGCAGAGTGAATAATACAGAAGAAAATGCAGCCAGGCAGGACAGGCTAGTCAGAATCTGGTGACAGACCAGGGAATTGTGGGTTCTCCTGCTTTGTCACAACCTGTGAACATCTCCCCGAAAGCACCTGTGTGTCACTGTGTCTCAATGTGAAATTCAGATGCTCCAAGATAACTTCATCTGCGAGATTCTAGAGGTTCCTAGAACACCAGCGGTGGTACACCACAGGGGCTGCTCGCCTTGGAATCTGGAGTCAAACAGACGTGAGTTTGAAGCCTGGTTCTTCTATAGACATCACAATGCCGAACAACCAGGAAATCCCTTAATCGTAGATTAGAGTATCCCTCTGTGAGATGCAGATAATGAAGGAGATAAAGTCCAGTGGGCTGTGCGAATCTGAAAAGGAAAGTAATTCAGAGACAGGAAGATGATAAATAGAATGTTGGGTGGGGGCTGGGAGCTCAGGAGCCTGGGAGGAGGGCTGTGGGTCTGGGTCTCCACCGTCACCCCCAAAGCATTCTGAGATCCACGCTCACGGGGGCTCCCCCAAGGGGTGCTCAGGGACAAGGCCGGGGTGTGCAGTAGGAACAGAGGAGGAGGTCCTGGGAGTTAAAAGAGACACTGGCATTTTTGCCTTCAAAAGTGTGCTTAGACCCATCCTCACTCCTGTCCACCCTCACCCTGGATCCCAACTTCTCCGTTCCCCATCCAGGCCTGTTTACAGGGCCTGACCAAAATCTGCAGGATGTCCCAAAGGGAGCTCAAAGGGTAAACCCTGGGCCAGGAGTCTCAGGTTGCTCCTCACCCAGCTCACTTCCCAGCCTGAGACCAGCGACGTATGCGGCCCCTCAGCTGTCTATGCCCTTATCCCCTCTGAACAATTCTGACCCCACCTTGCTCCCAAAGATTCTGAGGCTGTTGGTAGGAATAATCACACTCCTGTTTAACCCACAACACAACAGACCCCCACAATAGAGCCTGTGCTGTGGCTTGGCTGTGGAATATCACTCAGGGACCCAAGTGTTGAAGGCATGCCTAGCCTGTGGCACCAGTGGAGAGGAAACAGTAAAAAGAAATTTTTTTTTTTTTTTTTTTTTTTTTTTTTTTTTTTTTGGTTTTTCGAGACAGGGTTTCTCTGTGTAGCTTTGGAGCCTGTCCTGGATCTCACTCTGTAGACCAGGCTGGCCTCGAATTCACAGAGATCCGCCTGCCTCTGCCTCCCAGTGCTGGGATTAAAGGCGTGTGCCAATGCCACCCAGCCTAAACTGAAATTTTGAAGAGGTAGGGCCCCCCTGGAAGAAGTTAGGTAATTGGTGGCATACTCTTGAGGATATTGGGACCCTCACCCCGTGTGATGCTTCCTGGCCTCCGTGAAGTAAAGGGATCCCCTCAGTGATGTGCTCCCTCTGAGGAGCAGGTGGCCAGGGCTGCAGGCTTCTGAATGGGAGCCAAAACACACTTCTGCTTTTATGTTACCCGGGTACTCTGCCCCTGTGACAGAGTTGACACACCCTGATAGGTCATTTCGTAGTCAGGAGGACAAAAGCTCAGAGTCCATATAATGTCCCCAAGAGCTCACGTTAATAAGTGTCAGTGTACCTTGAAACTGAGTTTTAATCCAAAACTCATACCTCCATGGGGCCCAGTGTATGGCAGCAGGAAAGAGTGGGGCTTGTCACCTTCTCTCAGGATGCAGAGTCTCAGTCTTTTGTCAGACTATGCCGGGCAGTCACGACACCGTGGGTAGATCTGCCACCCTGTCTTAATTAACGTTTGGTCTTTCTAAACACACACACCCACATGTGCATGTGTTAAAGGCCAGGAGACAACCTAGGATCCTCAGAAATATTGTCCACCTCATTTTTGACAATTAGGCTAGACTAGCTGGCCAGTGAGCCCCCCAAGGAGCCTCCTGCCTCCACCTCTCCAGCGCTGGGATTCCAAGCATTTGTCCCCAAGCCCAGCATTTTTTGTTGTTGGTTGGTTTTGGTTTTTCGAGACAGGGTTTCTCTGTGGAGCCCTGGCTGTCTTGGAGCTCACTCTGTAGACCAGGCCGGCCTCAGACTGGGAGATCTGCCTGCCTCTGTCTCCCGAGTGCTGGGGACTAAAGTGCTCCACCACTGGCCAGCAAGCCCAGCAATTTTTATGTGGATTCTGGGAACTGAACTCAGGTCCTTGTACTTGAAAGGCAAATGTTTTACCAACTAAGTTATCCCCCTAACCCCTTAACCACTGATCTTTTTTAAAAAATTGTACTTGTTATTTTTATTTTATGTGTACAGGTGTTCCACCTGCATGGTTATCTGTGTATCACATGCCCACAGAGGTCAGAAGTTGGATCTCCTAGCACTGGAGTTACAGGTGATTGTGAGCTGCCATGTTGGTGCTGGTCATTGTCTAGAAGAGCTGCCAGTGGTCTTAACCACTTAGCCATCTCTCCAGCCATTAACTACAGATCTTAAACTGCCTCTCCTCTGACGCTCTTCTCCACTCATCGACCAGCTGCATCCAGATCACTCATGCCAGGATGGGGCAGGACACTGTCCCTTCTCAGAGACGTCTGCCCCCAACCAGACACATACCTTAAGGGCCACCATAGAGTGGCTGAGAGTCCGCTCTGCACTAGCCAGTTGACTCATCCCAGACAGTTACTCAACCTCACTGAACCTCAGGTTTCTCTCTTTACGAGAGGAGAATGCCAGACCTGGTGGTGAACACCTGGAATCCCAGTACTTAGGAGGCCGCGTGAGGCAGGATGACCGCCGCTAAGTCAAAGCCAGCCAGGGCACCGGGGTGAACTCTGGCCTGGCATATAGAGCGAACCTCTGTCTCAAAAAGGGAAGAGTGGGAATATGATGCTGGTTGACATGCAAAGCAGCCCTTAGTACATTACACACACAGAAAGGGCGTACATAGACCTCTGTGTGCAGAGGTGTTCTGTCCTGCTAGAAACACACACTAGTCCCTTCGTGTCCTTTCTTAGGGCCCCAGGCTGGGGTAGGCTGGTCTTCACTCCTCCACCTACTCTACGTCTCGGGGCTCACTCTCCCAGCTACTAGGCTCACAACCCAACCCGTTCCTCACGAGCAAAGTGGAGATAGACACTCTAACCGTTCTTGTAGCAGTTTTGCAGACAGGAGCAGAGACTGCTGGTCTGTCCAGCCTCTTCAGCCAGCCAGAAGCACTGACCTGAAGACTGGACCTGAGGCTGAACCAATCTTCTCTGGAAGAGGGCTGGGGGCGGGGCTCTCCTGAGCCCTGTGCAGACCCCTGCATCTGAGTCTGAGGACCCTCCCCTCCAAGAGTAACAAACATTCAAATGCACCCATGTCCCTCATTCAATGTAACTCTTCTTTAGTTTAAACTAAAGGGGCCTCTGTTGACTTGCTTTTGAAGTTGCTCTTGAAGTTACCCGACTATGAGTAACTCATTTAGTTTAGAACTGTCTATGACTACAATCATGCTGTGGATTCTGGAGCGTTTGCCAAAAATCCAATTTACAAATTGTTTTCAAATATAATGACATTTGTATGGATATGAAAATTAATAAATATTGAAGTTGACATGCTATTTTCTTCAAACATTTGTTAGTTTCAATTTCTCTCTTTTTCTTATTTTACAGCCTCCAAAACTCTAGCTCCACAGCTTTCCTGAGCCTTTGAAAGTCCACTCCACAGGTTTGCATCCACAGTCAGGGCTCCTCCCTAGGCCACCCCAACTCCAGACACTGCAGGAGGCTCTGTGGCTTCTATCCGCAGAGACCACCTACCCCAGGTCATCAGCCAGGCAATGTCAAGTTGAGTGACTTTACTCCCATTTAGAAAACAAAGTGAATCATTGAACATTAGACTAAATGTGAGTTAATGTTTAAAGTTCGATCGGAGTTTCCTTGAATAAATTCACCCATGAGGCAATAGTGTGACAGCTTGGATGAGCACAAGAAATGTCGCCACCTGCTCCTCTTCAGTTCTCCAGGAGGGGGCGCCAGAGAGCAGCCCAGGTTGCTCTCCGCTTGACTGGATTTTATGATTGCAGTACCTAGGTGTAGACCTCACTCTGGGGCAGCCCTGGGGCTACAAGGAGGGAGATTCTTCTGCCATTTGCACGCGCTGTTTGGAGCATTTTAAAGCACTGATTTTAAAAATCAGCCACCAACCATTCCCCTACCCTGCAAACAAGAGGCAGTTCCTGCCCCAGCCAGGACTATGTAATGAGTTCAAGGACAGCCTTTGGAGAGTAGTAAGGCGTGACCTCTCTCAGGAGGGGTCCACAGTCATCTGCCAAGCAGATCAAAGGGAGGGGCTGCCACGGGGACTGTATGAGAGGTCTGGCAAAGCAGAGAGCAAGCAAGCAAGGGAAGGGCTTTGCTTCATTCTATCAAGTGAAACAGACATCTTTTTTTTTTTGGTTTTTCGAGACAGGGTTTCTCTGTGTAGCTTTGCGCCTTTCCTGGAACTCACTTGGTAGCCCAGGCTGGCCTCGAACTCACAGAGATCCGCCTGGCTCTGCCTCCCGAGTGCTGGGATTAAAGGCGTGCGCCACCACCGCCCGGCGAAACAGACATCTTAAACTCGGCAGGTCTCTCTTACGGGCATGTAGGTTAGGGTGAGCATCTCAGGTCTTGCACAAACAAAGCTAAAGCTTACCAAACTCTTACCTAAAGTTTTAAATCCAATGACGGGAAGAATCCAGCCTGAGGAAAGCGCTATGGATAAGAATCCGTAGGCACAGAGAAGGAAGTATCTTGCCCATGCTCACACAGACCAGGAGCACAGCCAAAGCCCAGGTGTTATGGCTCCACAGTGCATAGCCAGTCACGCACCCCAGGCCGACTTATTACTGTCTTTTTACACTTTGAGTACATGTGTGCACACGCACTTGCCACGGTGTGCACACATGCCATGGTGCAGGTTACTGGGGGACAATTTTCAAGAATCAGCTTTCCCTTTCCACGATGTAAGACCCAAGGATCCACCCAGGGTGCCAGGCTTGGCAGCAAGTGCCTTTACCCGTGGAGCCATCCTACAAGCCCAGGCCTAGTTATTCTTAGCAGAGAAGAGTTAAAATGGCAAATCACGGGGCAGGGCACAGCAACAAAATTTACATTGGTAGATTATCTTCACGAAATGTTAAAGACGAGTTCGTGATTTTAAAAGCAAGTTTATATACACTAGAACCTCAATTCAAAAAAAAAAATCACTTGAATTTAGCATGTGGTGGCACACACCTGTAACCTCAGCACTGGGCAGGCTGTGTAGAAAGATCATGAAGGCCAGCCTGAGCTGCCTAGGAGACTGTCTAAAAAACCAACAAAATGCTACTTTCAGAAAGGAATCGGGAATGGCAAGATAACTCAATGATTGCTGCCACACCTGGCCACCTCAGCTCCAATCTCCAGGACCCCAGTGGAGGAAGGGGAGAACCCAACTGACTGCTATATACACTCCACGACAAGAACACGTGCACATACACACACACACACACACACACACACACACACACACACACAAAATATATATGCAGTAAAAATTCTTTTTGAAAAAAAACTAGAAGGAAAACATAAATATGTAAAATATATATTCATACATACATATAGCTCAAATATGCATGTTATAAGCAAACATTTGGCAAAATGGCAAGAATAGGATTTTTACTTCCTATTTTCCTATATCTTCAAAGGTTTTGTTTTGTTTTTCTACTCAGGCATTTTATTTATACGTATGTTTTTGTTTTAGTCCCCCTAGAAGAAGAACCCCAGGATCTTCCTTCCTGTGTACTTCCATCTTAATTCTTCATGGTTCACACCGCCATCTGAGGCTGTCAGCACAATGAAACCAAGCTGATGGGTGGATTACTCTTGTTCATTTTTCCTAGATCTCCGAGCTACACATCAAATTCGGGGCTGACCATGCCACACTTGTTTAGCCTGGCATGAGGTTCATTTTCCCAGCTCTGTGGTCACCAGTGATCGCCAGCAGAGCCATGCTTCATCTCTTCTCTTCTCTCTCTTCTCTCCTCCCCTCTTTTCTTTTTTCTTCTCTTTTCCGAGACAGGGTTTCTCTGTGTAACAGCCCTGGCTGTCCTGGAACTTGCTTTGTAAATCAAGTTGGCCTCGAACTCACAGAGATCCGCCTGCCTCTGCCTCCCAAGTGCTGGGATTAAAGGCATAAGCCACCACGTCCGGCGAGTTTTCTTTTCTTTTCAGCTAGCAAAAGCTTCCTTACCTTTTAAAGATCAGCTGCTCCTGGGCTGAGTGTGCAGCCCACTAACCTAGTATAGGAAAGGTCCGGTGTTCAAACCCGAGCACCACAAAATCAAATTTGAAAAAGGGAAGATTAACTCACGATAAATATTTGAAAGAGAAATTTCTGCAAAACTGAAAACCAAAGTCCAATTGATGTGAAACTGGAGAGGTTGCTAAGGAACATTTTGTTGGTTAGTGATGTGCTGCGGGCTGGGCCTCAGCGCAGACTGAGAAAAGTCGGGCAGGAAAAGGAAAGGATTTGACCTAATGACAAATTCCGAAGATGAATATGGAGTCCTCAGTGCTGGTATGGGACAGGCAGTGCTGGCCTTCAAGGGACGCTGTCAATCTACTAATCCTGCTTACTTGGTTCCAAAAGTTAGCTCCCCATACCCTTGAAAAGTATTGTTTTTGGGGGAGTGCAGGCAAGGTCCAGTGAGGCATGGAGAACCTTAGACATGGCGCTTGTCTCCATTCTGTTGCTGGCCATTTCTATCTCCACAGGTCATTTCCCTAGGCAGAAATCAATTGTGTGTGTGTGTGTGTGTGTGTGTGTGTGTGTGTAGCCTTTTTGTACAGCCTTCTGCTCATGCCCTAACTCCAGCATTCAGTTCAGATACGTAAATGACTAAAATGAATTGGCTAGGAGCCAGTGGGAGTGGGGGGGGGGGGGGTTTAAGTAGAGCTGCTTTGGGTCTCTGGGGCACCTGCTACAGTCTGAAGCCAGATGCAGATGGGCCCTCCTACCTGCTCAGAGTAGGGGTTAGGGAGTGGGGGCTGCTGCCGGCCTCTGGCCTCCGTGGGCTCCCAGCCAGGCCTTCCATCACACAGGCTTGCAATTGTGAGGCAGGAAGCCCCTAGTCTCTCTATACCCAGCAGCAGCTGTGGCAAGCGTCTGTTGGCTATGCAGGAAGCACCCTGTGCTGTCCAGGGCCCGATCTACTTCCCTTCTTTACATGCACAGCAGACTGGAGCCACCTTAGTGGCAAAGAGATGCTCTGCAATTGCACCATCGACCTGGGGTGGAAACTGAATTGCTAGAGACGGAGGATTCAAATACAAGCAGCTCCAGCTCCTTGCAACACAATCTGACAGTTATGTCTGTCACCGCATCTGCCACCTTGGTGTCAGAATCCCCAAGGGAGAGATCTGGAGGGAGTACTTTAAACAGGCTACCTAGAAGGTCCCACAATTTTGGAACCAGAGGCCTCAGGCAGACATCCAGGGGCACATGTTCCCACCTACCATGCTGTCCTAAGAGGCTGCACTGGAGGCACGAGGTGGGAGGGTGCCATCCAAGCTGGTGTGACAAGAATACACCATGGACCTGGAGCCCCACGTCCCCTTCAGAAGGGGCAAACTGGCTGAGGGCTCAGTGGGCATCTCCTCTCTCCTACAGGTCCCCCAGTCAGTGTGCAAATGCACTAATCCACTTCATCCATGCCGTGTGCCTCAGCATGTGTCGCACGTCACAGCTGTGACAGTATACACCCGTGGTGCAAGCACTCAGCAGTGTTGGCAGGACTGCTGCCGCCGGCCTTTGTTATACAGCGGGCCCCTACTCCACCCACAGTGCCTTGCCATTTACCCCCTTCCTCTCCCAACAGAGACCTTCACATGCCTCATTACTTAAATAATCTTTATTTCTCATGCACTAGGAAAATGGGTCATATGAAACACTGTTCTTCATAGCAAAGGCCTTGGTCTAGAACATAACACAAGACGCCAACTGGGATTGGGATCTAGTCAAAGACCTGGAACCCCTCGAAGGTGGTACCAGCCCCAGGGCTAATGGCAGACCCAGCACCCTACAACTGTAGTAGCCTCCAACTGTAGACACAGGATCAGGGCAGCTGCCCCCTCCCACAGGGGTAACAAAGGAGCTGGTTACAAAGGAACATGTGGACCAGGGAGGAACAGAGGAGGTTGATGGGCAGTGACTTGGCAGGGGCAGTGGTCCAGCCCCTTAGGCCAGGCCTCCAGGGCCATGAGCAAGCCCAAGTCCTGCTCTGCCCAGCACAGATGGGCCACAACTTCACAGAGACTGAGCAGCCAGTACCACAACAGAGGGATACTGAGCCCCTCCTGACTGCCCCATGGCCACATAAAGGAGAGGGGAACTCAACTTTGAACTCTAGCCAAAGCCTGGATTTGCCGAGGTAGGGCTCCAGAGGCTAATGGGGCCAGCCCCACACAACTATCCCAAGCCCCTGTGGACACTGAAGACACCAGAGGACAGCCGGACTTCTGACAATCCTGGGACAGGTCACTAGCAGGGCCAGCCCTTAAATCTCAGCCATCAGGTCCCACCTGAGGCAA